GGTTTTGAGAAATGGTGATACAAAGAAGTGATGTCATCAAATCCAATGAATCATTTTAAAATGTCGAAATCATTCAAAGGGAACATGAACAAATTTCTTATCGGTAATCAGATCAAGTTGTTGGTTTATCATTCACCAGGTGTACGGTTTCTTTACTGTAAGATGATAGATAGATAGATAGATTACTTTATTCATCCCCAAAGGGAAATTCGGTAAAGATGATGTCTCTGTCCTTCATTATGTAAAACTGTAAGAAAGCTGCTTCATATCAAGCTCAGCATTTATGATGGCGTCAGTTCCCAGATGGAAGTTTGTGATATAACAAGTTTTAACCCTACAGCTGATTAAACCACAAATCTGCCTGTTATCTGTAGCCTGAAGTTACACGAGTCACCATATTTCACATTTAATGCCATGAGCTAATGGTGCAGAGGGCTGGTGTGCTCTCTCTCTCTTTCCCTGATGATGCATTTATAGCTGCTCTGCTGAGTCTTCACCAACAGAGGGCATTAGTGTTTTTTTTTAACAGTAATAACATGAGTAGACACAGAAACTCACCCTCAAAATCCTGTTGAAGTCTTCCTTGTCTACTCTCAGGAAGTGACAGTTGTCCTCTCGCAGGACAATGGATGCAGCACGGGGGGCGTCGTTGACCAGAGCCAGCTTCCCAAAGTCGTCCCCCTCATGAAGCGTGCAGACGACACCCTGAGGAGCACAGCACCCTGAATCACACATCCTGACGCTTTTCACATTTATATCTGATTTGAAGAAAATACCTACTTTTCCATAGATGACGACATTGACGGAGCCCTTCAGGATAATGTACCATGAGGTGCCCTCCTCCCCTTGATTGAACACTGGGAGAGAAAACAAATCATATAGAAAGACTGACGGTGTCTCATCTGGGATTTGTTGTATTTATGTAATGCAGTTATGAATTTAACAGTTTTATCAAAACACTCACAGACTGTTCCTGTTTTGGCATGGGACTCGAAGATCAGTACTCCTGCCAGCTCTCTTTTCACCTGTGCAGATTTATAATGAGGGAGATCAATGTTAAAACACATTCCTTTTACTTAGCGGTGCCACAGGGAGCAACCAAAAATATTACTCTACTTTCCTCCTAGTCAAATCCCTCACTGGTGTAAAACATGAATGTGACTTATTGTCCATATAAATATGCAGTTTACAGATATTCTCACATTACTTGTTTTTCAAGGCCCATGAATCTCAATAGCAACGCAAACTAATGATATTAACTGTAGAACCCCAGGGGGGCACTGGCCGCAGCTGAAATCGGATTTTACGAAACTAGTCATTTACTAACAATACTAACAATAAATAGGACAATCTTTTGGGAATTGTCTAATCTGTTTTTATTACTCAATCAGGAATTGGCATTG